CCAGAGGCTTGTCACCTCCAAGCTTCCCCAGACATCAGTCTGAGACTCGCTGCAATTTAATTGCTCAATGCTTACTCTCACCAAACATAACTGAGCACTAATCTAACGCAAAGCATATTCAAATCCGCAATGCAGCCACACATATACACGATAAAGGGTGAGCAAGACATACACCAAAAGCATTTCCATTTCAAATCAAACTACGTCATGATATTTGAAATGTTGATAAAGCAATGATATAATTCATTAAACACACAGATGTTACGGAAGACAGTAAGTTCAGGACACTTTAGAAAGACCACCATGAAGTAACAGAAAATCCGGAGTAGACATAATATGTAATATGCATCTTAAATCTTGCTTATAAATGAAAAGGACAGAAGCTCACTCGTACAAATAGGAAGCAATTCCCAGAATAATACACAGAAGGATGATATCCAAGCAGAAGTTTCGACTGGACCTTATCTGTAATAATTTGTTTCAAAATAGGAAATGAATACAATGAGAATGTCAATATGAAGTAATACAGTTTTATATTTACGTTTAAGAAAATTACTTATGCATACCTTGAAAATTGATTCTTTCAGTCTAACATTTGTATTTTTTAGTTCAGTTGTTGCCCTGTCCACCTGCAAGAAAGATGTAAACAACTGGGTGAAATAACCGGTTCAGGATTGTTTATTGAAGCGACTAGTTTTGTACTGTGAACAAAATGTTTCAGACCTTGGTATCAATTTCGTCAATCAATGGAACCTGCCTGTCCAATTCCTAAACCCAAGGGTGAAAAGGGGAAAACGTAAGAAAATCAGTCTCAGATTTCTTCAGACGATATCAAACAAGAAATGTAATGCAACTAACAAACCTCATTCATATCAGCAGTCAAGTTCTTGAGTGTATCAAGACCTTCTGATATTATGTCTAAACCTTGATCCTGCAGGAAATTAAAATCAAACACTAGAAAATATTAAACTGTACTTGGGTGGGAAATTGTGTATGGAGAAAAAGCAAATGGACCAGGTAAGTTACAAGCCTGCTTTATCTTCCGCATTTCATATTCTTGCCTGAATTGATTTGACTCTTCACTTTTTTGAAAGAAATCATCATCAAACTGCCCATCTGATATTTCATTTATAAAGGTTATGAGAAATAAAATAACAGAAAGATTGACAGTTCAATACAAATCCAATTTGTACTAATCATCCAACCAACAGTAATCACCAGTGTCAAATTTTATATTTTTATGAGATGTTGAAGCCTCCCAGACTCCAGCTTGTTTTGCCGCTGTTCCATCAGGTATTGCTTGAATTCTCTCAGGAAGTGCAAGAACCAGGTCCTTACGAACTTCTAGTTCTTCCATGGAGAGCCCTTTGACCTGTTAACAATATAATTATAATCAGAATTTGAATTGGGCACAAAAGCAAGCTACCTGTCTATTGACCAGAGAAGTCAGACAACTGCTGATTTCCTCATGCAGATTGCTAAGGCATATTAATTTTCAAATCAATCTTTTTATAATAATAAAAGTGAATGAAATGAAGAAGCAAGCAGCCACTGAAAAATGGGCAAAAGCAATTTAACTAAAGTGAACTCTGTAAGGACTTTTAATTAAAGATGGGCTTGTATGTGTGAATAATTGTGTGTTAAATTATAGGCTATCGAATTCGGTTGAGCCCGATTAAAGTGATCTAATAAGGTTTCGGTTTTGGGCTTTAATGTATCCAATTAAAGTATGGGTTTACATATGTGTAGAGATCGGGCCCAAGTCCTAATTTTATGATGGGCCGAATTAGGTCAAAGGGCATCCTCATATAAATAGGTTATGGTCCCCAGATCACACGCAACGAAACGAATTGTTCATTCTCTACTGCATCCCATCACAGAGAGGAATAGGAGACTGCGTGTAGATTTGGAAGATCATACCGCGAAATCCATATTGCACTAACCATGTCAGACTCAGGTATGCTTCCGCTTTAATTATTATATTTCTCGATGATTTAACATGAAAGATCCGATATTTTAAAGTATTAAATTATCCAACAAACTCATCTCCTTCCTTGTGTATCAACATATATGAATTGATTATTCCATTTCAACCAAATTGAGCTAAATCTCCGAAAACCCTTATATGTAATAAGAATAAATGGAAGATATCATCAATGCATTTGACGCTTGAAAGCACAAATGATAAACAGATCCACGGTGCAATAAACATATAAAAGTTCCATATAGCAAATAAAACCCCCAAAATAAACAAAAGGGAAAGTAAAAATAAACTAACTCTTTTCTGAGCAAGCTTCTGCAACTTAGGTACTTCATCCATAAGCCTGGCCTTAGTTCGCCGCACCTCAGCATTCATCGCCACCATGGCTGCCCTGTTTGTCTCCATTGCCACCATCTCCGATTTCTGTACGTGAAGGAGAAAAAAGACGAATAAGTTACGGATCAAATAACAAAAAATTCAAATCACAATTTTGAGGAAACAAATAACTACATGCAGGACAGCCTCAATTTGAGACTCAAACCAGCCGTAGAGGCGGGCAAAGGAATCATCGGAGGAGGCATTTTGGGAACCCTGCTTTTCAACATCGTACTTTTCGTATTTCTTGCAGATGGAATCAACCCTGAAAAGAATATCAATCACACTCATTTTGCCCCCTTTTTCCCAAGCTTCTTGTAATGTTTTTAAAAAATTGTATAAGGACTGACAATTCGCTGTAAAGGAAGAGATAATTGGAGAATAATTGTGGACAGGGAGAGGAACAAGGGTTTTTTTCTTCAAGTTCTGCCATTGTCGCGTTCTCTTTGACGAAGGGTTCACCGTTAATAGCGGTGATTTATGTATGGCGTTCGCGGGAGAAAGGACAGTTTCTATATCTGGTAAAACGGCAATAGAAATGGATTTTTGTTTATTTGCACGTTAGGACAATTTCACAATTGGTCCTCAACCTTTTACTTTAGCATGAGTCAAATATTTTAAAAAAAATAGCAACATAATCCTCAATTTTTCCGACAATGTACACATCGGGGATTTTTGTCAAATCGTTGCGTAGTCTTCACAAAATATGCATGAATTCAAAACTTTTTGATACTTGATCAAGTTAGAAAACAAAACTTAATTTCATATGGTTTAGATATGAAAAAGTCACATGATAATCTACAGAGATTTAGACAGTATTCTTCATTGAGTATAATAGTTCAAATATAACGAATTAAGACTAGCTTCCATTGCTCTTAATTTACTAAGTAATATTCACAAAGTTCAATAATAAATTTTGAATACATTTTAAAGTCATGTGTCCCCAACCAACATATGGGTGTCAAGTGAGACGAACCACTCCTCGACTCGACTCACCCAACTAGCAAGCAAAATAGCAATTTTCTCGTGCTAGCCACTCATCCATGACCCGTGAGTTGGCTGGATAATGAGTAAAATATGCACTTCCAATATAAAAAGTTGTGCCAATCATACTTTAGTTGAACAATCAGACTCGTCCCATTTAACATCGTTGAACCAACCTTCCCCATTAAGACCTAAAACATCAACAAGTAATATGTATCAAATATTAAACGGTATAAGAGTGGCTCCAATCTGAAGCCATTGCAATTGCTTCTCCTACAAAGAAGAAAGCAATTTCGACCCCTAATTTATAGAGGTCGTAACAAAATTTCCAATTTTTTTAATTGAAATATATCTTTAACCTTTAAAACGAAGCCACTGCAATTGTTCTTCCCTACAATAAACCATTAAACCCAATCCACCAACCCGCTTGGAGTAAAGTTGAGGCTCGAAATCCTTTTCAATAATAAAAAGAGCAGTCTCTTTACAATTTGTTAATGACAATTATTATAGATGACAAGTTGTAGCCATTGACAGAACTTATTATAACAAATTGTTATCACAATTACTGGTACTAAAAGAGGAAGAAAAAAAAAATGCTGGAAAAACTCCAGCGACGTTCTGATTTTTAATGAAAGAACGAAGGATCTCTGTCCAACCTCAACTTATACCAAGTAAATTGTTCGATCATGAATGAAGTTTTCACCAGGAAATTTGGTCTTCAGCTTTGCAATGAAGACTTGCAGATTTGCTCTGAAATGCTTCTCCACCATCTCCACCAATATTCATATACTTATTATCACTCCGTCAATATCTACATTTTAACCCAAATTAAATTAAAATTTACTTTATATGCACTTTAATCCCTAAACTTTCAAAACATTAAAATATAGCATACAAAAATTAAATTCCATTCTACCAAAATTTTTGGGACATTACATTAAATGTTTAACCCTGCAAAACTCGATATTATACATGCACCCTATAATTGAGTTTGATATTATGATGAAATGAGTTAATTCATATGCTGGATAAGTTGATAGATTGAACGTAGATTCTATGCTTAAAACTATTTTAAAGTAATGATCCGTAAACCAAATTTAACATAGTTTGGAGGAGATTTTACTGTTGTGGGAAGATATGGATGTGAATGTAAACTTCTTCCATGAAAAAGTTATGTGTGGATTGTCTTAGACTAATATGATAAAATTGGGTGAAAATCTTAAGTTAGAGGTCAGTTTGCTTGAATATGTATTTGATAAGGGATATTGCACTATTCAAGGCATAAGTATTTCTTGAAATGTGAAACTTCTCTTTAAAGCCTTTATGATTGGAGTAATTAAGCCTACAATAGTATCTAAAAACCTGGTATCCTAAAGTTATTTTACTTAGAAGTCATCGACCTAAAACTCGATACAATGTCATTTAGAAAACAATCAAAGATGAAGTTGCACTAATAAAAATTAAAATTAAAAAAATGGAGGTTCTCTTCAAAGACTTTTTGACTTGGGCTATTAAATCTATATGGGTGTTTGAAATTTGGTGTCCTAAGATGATCTAATTTAAGAGTCATCAGCTTAAAGCCTACGACGTGGATCATCTAGAAAGCTTAAAGAAAAGAATGCAAAAAGAAAAAATACTTTTGAAAATAAGAAAAAGCAAGTGCATAAAAATGGCAGAAGGACTAAATGCCTTGGTTAAAGCTCAAAACATTTGTTTGAGAAAATTTGACTCTTGATGAAAAATAATTAGCCTAGTTGAATCCTAGAGGTCGAAGCAATAAAATAATTGGAGAATCATTGTTTATTGATGTGTTGACTTGCTACTAGTGACATTAATTTGAACTAGAGGAGGTAAGGATAGTAGTGAGAAATATAATCTTAGATTACACATTAGGAATCTGTGAAAAGAAAAAAAAATTAGGTGTGTGAATCATACAAGAGATGAAATGACATATTTGATCATGGAGGATAGGGAATTAAAGCAACTTGTAGATTCATAGTTGACATTCTTCACACACATGAATTTTGCACAAAAAGAGTGTATATTGATTTTGGTATTGTAACCTAGAAGCTGTTCGTAGATTTTAACATCATAATTTCAAATCTTGAGGTAAAAAACCAGATTATCTAATCAAAACATTTTGTGTGTTTGCTAAGTTAGGTTATAATTTTGTTTGACATCAAATTTTTAATTTTAGGGATGTTTGATAAATGTATCTTATACACTTATTTGTACCTAAAAATATAAATATTTAATAGTTCTTTTAAGTAATTATTAGGGATGACAGTTTGAACCGTTAAAATCGAAAATTGCGGTTAACCGAACCGAATGGGACAAAAAAAATCGAACCGATGGTGCAATAGAGCGGATATGGTATTTGATTTTAATGAACCGGTTCGTGGCGGTGCGGGTATGGTATTTATGCCGTCAAATCGAAATTGAACCGATTACCCTCTTAAAAAAATCATTCTTTTATTAGGGATGACAAGGTTTAGTGAGAAGAAAGTTGACGAAAATGTACATTTTTTTTTATTTAAATCTTAGTTAAAACCATTCTAGATTAGGTAATATCGTTGTATTCTCTACTTATATTTTTTATTTACTATATAGAAATTAATTTTGAGTGCTGATCTATGCTAGTAAGAGTTGTGGAGAGGAACGAAGATTGAATATGGGTTAAGGTTAAAACTTTTGAATTATTGAGCATGAATCAAGTAACTACAATGCACAAGAATCAAGAATGAAGGAAAAGTTTAGTATTGTTATATTCATAATAATGTTTGTTAAATTTGTATTTTGCACTTGGAATTTGGGATAATGTTTGGATTTTCGTTTGGAATATTGTGTTTTTGTTTTCATTGATTCTCTTTTCATAAATTGGTTTATATCAATTTGACGGATTGACGTACAAAAAATAATTTATTTTCGTGGTTATTAACTGAATCGAGTCGAACCGAGATACGGATCGAACCGAATCAAACCGATTTACTTGGTTATGATGCGGTTATGGTATGACAAAAAATTTGACGGTTCAGTGATGGTTTTGAGCGAACCGAACCAAAATCGAACCATTGCCATCCCTAGTAATTATAGCCTAATTTATTGTATATTTTATTTATTAAGTAAAACTCGATGATTGAAAGTGAAATTGAAAGAAAGAAGCAAAAAATGGCAAAATACAAAGTTTGATGACCAAATTGCGAAGATCCAATGGTTGATTCAGACCATGAGATGATATTTTGAAGATTGCTAGTAGTCAATTGGATGAAGCTAAAAGTCAAAAAAAAAAAAAAAAACAATGGAATATGATTAGAATATTACCATAAATCGATTTCAAATCACACAAGATGTCTTCCTGATTTTTAATCAAAGATTGAGACCTATTTTTGGTATAGTAAATGTTCGAATTGAAAACATTTTACATCTAACAAAATTGTAGCCCTTTGAATTAGTTTTTTAATGCAGTTTGAATTAATATAATCGATTATTGGAAGAGAAAGTTATGATAAAAATACTGACTGATGTGCAAAGACAAAAAAATCCACAGCGAAGGCAATTTTCCTTTTCCGATTCGAGCTCTTTTGAAAACCAATTTGGACGTGATTTTCAACCAATTTTCAACTCCTACAAATACCTAACAGTTGAATACATTCTTCTAAACCTCTTATATACATTTTATACTCCAAAACTCATCAATTATTATCATCAAATGAGAAAAATTCATAATTTTTGTGAGAGAATTGAAGGGAACTTGCAAGAATTCAATAAAGCAGAGTTTCAAACTTGATTTTTGGGTAAAGAAGAAATGGAACAAGTTGAGATTCATTAGGAAATCATTGAAGAAATTCAAGATTTCAAAATTCATGTTCATCTTCTCAATCTATCAAAAATCCAAGTTATGTCTTTTCACGTAAATATGATTTCTCGTCATTTCAATATGTTAGGCTTTTTTTATACATTGCTAGGATGAGATGAACCATTGTTATGATATTTTTAGTTTTTAATTAATTATTTTGGCTTTAATTTGGTTTTATTTGTAGATGTTCAATATCTTTTTTATCGTTCTTTTCAATTGCTTGATCGCCAATTGAATTGATTGTGGATTTTATTGATATCGAGAGAGACAATAATGTTTAAATACAATATAATAAACATTGTAAGATTCGAAGATGGTAGAAATATAACTTTATGTTTTATATAGTTTCAATAGGTGTTCTAGCAATTGTTAATGCATTTATCATGATTGTATTTTTAATCAAGAGATAGAACAGTTACACGAGAGGAATATATTTGATCACTGTCAAGATAGGCTTTCAATTAAATTAGGAATATTGACCAACATGAATAATTTTAAATTGTCATTTTGACTGTTACACTAAAATGGAATAACAACTGGGGTTCAACATCTTAGTAATGTATCTCAAATATTTGAAAAACATATTTAGTTGGTCTCACCAGTTTAATTGATAATTTAGGGATTAATATAGAAAAATTATAACAATTTGTTTGGTATTCGATTAAAAGCCATTCGAACGCTCCTATGTAAATGTTCAAATGCAAGACAAAAAATTACCAGGAAATGCATTATAAAATCAATTTAGAAAGCTAAAATGAGATAGTTGATTGGCAAGTAGATGAATAGAGGGACATTGTACACATGACGAATGACGCAAGGCGCAATGTAAAACAAACTCGTGTAAATTTCCATTATGAAGAGATCGTGTACGAAGCTGCCCAAATCAAAATGTCATTTGGCAAAAATACTGCGACGATTAGGGACGTATATAAGGGGATATAGTCCAATCCCCAGTCCGGTCCTGGATTTATCCCTGACGACAATACAATGTAACTTTATCCGATTTTTCAAAATGCTCATCAAGCATCATGTACAACATAAACTAAAATGAGACGAGCATAAAGAAAGAGAGTGGTGAAACACAACCAAATTAATCAGCGAGAACATAGTCTAAAGCATTGTTAGACATACGGAAAGAAGTTAGCAATACATTGATAAAGCCATGTCAAACAAAAAACTGATAATCACAATAAAGACAATTAGAAGAGGCAGGGAGGATGATATGATGTACCAAAATCTGTTTGAAAACAATTCAACTTGTAGAAGCAAAAACCTGCCAATACCGACCCATTACCTATTTGGTACAACAATTTGACAAACAAATGAAGCCATAAACTTTTGTAAGGCATAAAATTTCTGAACTGTAACAAACTTTATCCATTAAGGTAACAGGACCGGCAATTTACATAAAATTAGACCCTATTTGGCAAGTTTAGCAAGGTGGAATAGACCGTATTCAACAATATTAAGAAAAAAAATGCAAAAAATTATTACCGTTGCATTTCTGTAGACCAAACATGCAGCATATGTAGGCAATAAGACATTAAGCCCATGTTCAAGTCCTATTTGCGATTTTATTTTATTTTATTATTATTTTTTTTTTTTTTTTTGGGTTGTAAAAAGTAATTATTTTGGACAATATATGATTAAAAATCAAGATTATTTCATTAGTAGAATGTGCGGCTGAAAATGAGTTTGAGGAAAAATGAGTTTTAAAGAATGTGGGTCAAACAAAGACTTAATATCTCGAGGAGAGTTACTAGCCATTGAATCATATAAACATGAAAAATTAGCTCAAGGCAACTAAACTATTACCTGTAACCTATTAGTGCAGGGAGCCCCATAAATTTTCCATTTATGGACAATTAATAATGTCCAAACCACACAAACTTGGGAATTCTATCCATGTACAAAATATAATGGAACGAAAACTTACGTTAACATCCATATTTAAGCAAGACTGTTACACAATCTACAAAAATTAATGCATTCACAGTAACAATTTACAAAAACCTGCTAGCTCAAGTTATTTTCTAGAGTTTAGAGGTCATAATCCAATATAGAATTCCATCACACTTGTATTTACACGGATTAAAATTTCCAATGCAGTGTGCTAAATCAATTCGTATTATGAAGTTAAAAAACGCAGGGAAACCGCGGTAAAATTATTTGAACTAAGATTAGTTTCATGTATGATCAATATATATATATATATACACACACACACAAAACATAAAGAAAGCTAAGATCTTCTTTTATCTGTCCTCCAGGAGTTAGAAACTTCTACAAAAGCTAAAAACCTAACGTGGCACACTGGCTCACCGAAATACCTATTTTACTAAACAAGCTGCTTCGAATTCGGGGATCCGAACATGTGAACTGAACATCCGTGAGTATCAGGCACCAGGTCTAGATTTGTAGCGATAGAACTGCTGAAGATATGAAGCGCAGTATCAAAGCCGATGAAGCAGAAGCTCATGACAATGACGACCTGGGGCCTGATCTTCGGTCCCGGAGCATCGTCCGTGTAAAACCTCAGCATGTTGCTACCTGATGCTCCTCCGCCCACGCCAGAGGAGAAGGAATTGGATAAGCCGGCTCCTAGTATGCGGCGGCGCATGTGGACAGTCGATCCACGTGGGCGCATGATCACGGTTCTCGGTCCTCGAGGCATGGTGAATTGATGATAGCAAATTTCTGTTAAGAAGTGTTGTTGAAATCAATAAAGGAAGAGTTGAAATGAAAAAGGGAACGGTAATCGTGAGTATGGTCCATGCGACCGCATGGGCCATATAGCCATGCGGCCACATGGCTATATGCCGAGAGTTTGAGGCTCGGCTTAAAATAAACCATGCGACCACACAGAGTTGCAGTACATGGTACATTATTTTTTACTGTTATGTAGCTGTTTTTGGCCGTTGTAAATTCAAATTTGGTGGCCTTTCATACATCTTTTGGCACCATTTCAAGCATATGGTCAAGGCCTCTATATATAATCCTTTAAACTGTTTACCAGAATTTCCTTAAGCATCTCATTTAATTAGGAGAGAGGACAAATATCGTTTGAGAACAACGATATCATGATCGGACCTTCGATTTTATTCTTACAAGTTTCTGGTTTTGATTCATATCTTGCTGTCTTTTTCTTTTGGTTTCTTCTTCATCACTCCATTGTTTCCAACAGTTTTTGCAAGTATTAGGTGGTAGAACGGTGTGTGTGAGTGAGAGAGAGAGAGAGAGAGAGAGAGACCGTGGAGATATGTCCGAAGGGATTCCTAAGCGAAATAGTTACTTTTGTTACAAACTAGAGAGGGAGAGAGGGAAAAAAAAAAGAGAGAGAGAAAATGTAAGAGTCAAAACTTAAGTGCATGTAGTGTTAAGAATCAAAATCTCATATTTATAGAGTTCAAAATAAGTGTTACAATTGAAATAAAATAGATCTTTTAGTCCAAAATAAGAGTTGTAATTAAAATAAAATAGATCTTCTAGTCCAAAAATAAGAGTTAAGAGTTACAATTAGAATGAAGTAGACCTTCTAATCAAAATAAGAGTTACAATTAGAATGAAAAAGATCTTCTAATCTAAATCAAACTTATCTATGTATCATGATGATACTAAATATAATCATTGATAATTATCTTATCATTTTACAACAACTTTTTATTTTTCATCGGTAAAAGTTTTTATAAAAATAAAAATATCTGTCTTGTAAGAACTCTATTAGAAAGCTTCAAAATGTATCAATTTAGTCCCTGAACATTTTTTTTTCTTAGTAGATTTGTTTCAGTTAAGTTGCTATTTACATAAACCAATAAGAGTTTAATGATGCATCTAACTACAAGGTTTATCTTGCAAAGGAAGTTAACAAAAGACAAAAAGGTTCGTTCCACATTATTTTTAAAAAGTCAAAATAAACTTTTGAGATTCAGAATTTACTTTTGAATTCCTTTGATTAATTTTATAAAAGTGTTTCTCGTAATTAGAAGAGTTTTTAGAAAATAAATTGGTCAAACGTAACTTCCTCTAAAAGTAGTTTTAAAAAATCAAACTCTTTTAAAAACTTGTTTATAAACAAAAATGATAATTTTCTTGGAAAGCAAAAACAAGAATCATGCAAAACGGACCCTAAATGCAATACATGATTTCGTTTCAAAATATTAGTAGCATTCATTTATATTTAGTCCATATTTGGTATAGATTAAAATCAAATTTTTAGTAGATTTTTACCACAAAAAAAAGAGGTGATAAAATGTAAAGTTGAAAAGATGTGCGTTCAATGAAATATTTGGATAAAATTAGTTGTTGACTTTCATTTGAAATTTTTAATAACTTTTAGTCCATGTTTGATGGTCATTATTTGATTAAAATAATGTTTTGAATAGTAAACTTTTTAAGATATGTGGTTAAAAAGTATGAAAAAAATTGTGAATTTACGTACAGAATATTTTATTGTGTGAATTTGTGATTAAAAATGAATATGTAAAAAAAATAATTTTGACCAAAAAAAAAAAAATCACATCAAACATGTGCTTAATCTCAGGGGCTTAATGTGAATGTTAGTTTCTTATACACTAAAATTTAAAATAGGGCGGCTCCAAAATTAGGGCAGAATAGAGCAATCCCTAAATGTCAATACAATTAACCTCATGTTTGATTTAGCTAAAAAACTTGATAAAAATTTATGTCATAGTCAATAATTAATTTTAGTCTAACATTTGGTGAACCTATAACTTTCATCAACTTTTCAACCACATACTTTATCAAATTTTATATATACTAAATATCTTATTTTTAACCAATCAAAACTGTGAATCCTTCATTTACCATAATATATACAAGCGTAACTATAATACATTAAAAAAAATAAAATCAGAAAATGATTTCTTTTACCCAAATTTATTTGCTTGTCCTTTTATCAAATGAAAATTCCTTATTAGGCATGCCAATGCTGATCTCATGCTGCTCCTCAGGTGGCTGGGGCTGCGCGGCCACCCTAGACGAGCTCGTCTCATAGTGGAGCTGAGCCTCGTGTTCTATATAAACTAGCTCAATCTGCTGGTGGGAAGTCGAGGATCCATCGCCTTGATGGAAGCGCGTGGAGATGGCGATGGTGAACCATCGGTTTCCAATTGATCCATGTCAAAGTTTGATTTTCTGGGAGATGTTTGGAGACTGTCCATTTCGCCTCTGTAGTGTTGCAAAAGATGGATCGGGAAGGTTCCATGGGAAGGCGTCGCGGGCCTGCCTGACATTGGTGATGCCATGCCTGAATTCTTGCTTTGCTTGATGTGTTGTGTGGCTCTGTGGTGCCAGTTTTTTAGGGCTGCGACTACTCTTTCATTGAATATGGTTGGTTTCATCGTCGATCCCATCTGTTCAATTATGCGTACAAGAGTTAGTATCGACAAAAATAATGCCATAACTATATGGATCAAATTTTTAATTATGAACCATTAAGACTAGTTTCATCTTAAAATGTCAATATTATTAAGAGCAGTAATCCAGCTTATATATGTTGGTCTATATTTCGATAATCAGTCGTGTGAGATTTATTCCCTAGCATACCATGATTGTAGCTCGTTTGAATAGTTGAAATTCTGTATTCATTTGAGTTTTATTCGGATCAAATTACTTGTTTGCAATTAATGTGCTCCGATACTATAAATAAAATTTGGAGTTTCATCTTAATAACTCAACATTTTTAAAAGAAGTGGCTCATCCCTCATACATTAGTCTACGATAATTAGTCGATTTGAGGTTTTTGTTTAACATAAACATCGTAATTATCTGAGTAACAAGGGCATAAAGTGGGAGCGTTACATAACTGCATAGAATCTGTATCCCTGTGAATGAAATTAATAACGAGAATTTATCAAACTTTAATTGAATAGTATTAATAGAAAAATAAAATAAATAATATCAAGAATGAAGTAAAATATATATAAATGAGGCTCACCCCATTGATATTCTGATGATTATATCCTCCACTTGTTCATGGAAACAAGACCCCAATCCGAATTCTAACCAAGTCCAGGCAAAGAATGCCAATTGAAATGCATTCTACAATGGTGAAAGAGTTTACTTATAAGTAAATAAGTAAATTTTGAACAGATGAATTTACTTATTTTTAAAGTAGCTGTTAAAATGGTAACATTTTTATCAGGGAAAAAAATGTATCTAAAAATGTTTGAAAATAAAACTTAGTATATTTGACTGAATTAGAACCTTAGTCCAAGATGCTATTAGTGTTGTAATTCGGTGTTCAATTTATAATGATGATATATTGAAATGATAATATATCCATATGAGTGTATAGAGTAAGTATCGAAATACCAAAAACAAAATGAGAAGAAAAAATGGATAATCTAAAATTTTGGGCTAGGCAAGCGTCGCTTTCAATAACGCAAGGCCAAAACCTTGGCTTGGGCGATTGCTCAAGCCAATTTTTTAACCATTGGATTTGAAACTTTTTAGTTCGTTTTAGGCACATTTTCATGAAAAATTGCATCTTTTCATGAACCTGAGGCTTTTTCGTGGTGTATAATTAAGAATCTATATATATGAGATAGATTTCATTTCCCTACACAATTATTATACCACCAACAATTAAAATCATTCCATTCATATAGAATTTTATAAAAGTCTCTTTACATATTCATCATTTTGAGTGTTCTTCAAATTTTAAGGAGAAAATAGTAGTGTTTGATGTCTTTGTTCTCCTGAGACTTGTTAAATCCTACAAAATATTTGCTGTGAGTTCTTTTAAACATAAAAACTATCCTAGAGAGGCAAATTTAGTTTGAAAACAGTGATTACATGTTTTTCATTTTTTGACATTTCTCTTTTCTTTGGTTTATTTTCTACATTCTTTTGTTACGATCAAGTTTTACCAACAATTAGTGCATGACATAATTTTTAAGTTCCAAGGACTAAGAGATTAATGAATAGTAATCAGCTTTAAGGAAAAAAGGAGACGAAAAACTTGGTATGAAGAGAAAAAGACGCACTTGAAATAGGACGAAAGTGATAAGGAATAGTATGAGTCGTGGACGATTGAACCAGAAGAGATCGTCTCCGGGTTGAACTACAGGCACGCCTTTTACTACTTCACCTCTCTCTTGAATTCTCAGCCCCATTTCCGTTATTATCACTTGTAGTTTGGTCCCCACCAGCAAGATTATCTGCAGTTTCATTCAAGGTATTTTCAGATTAATTGGCTAAAGAAACGTAAAATGTCAACTTAAGGGCATGTATATGGGAATTGTTTACTCACAATCAGTGGGATAAAGGGTAGTCATAGATAGGTATACCGGCCTTCCACAGAGAAAAAGTTCAGATAAATAATTAAACCAAGAAATAATATTTAAAATCTCGTCTAGTGTTCTTTGCGTTGTTGAATGTAGCTAGTCGAACATAAGATACATTGTCTGTACTGATGGTCGATATAAATAAATAATTTTCAGACTCACCATGTCCATTGAAGAGGAAGAAGACCACAGCCAAGAACCAGATTGGAGGACTGGAAAAAGGAATATAAACATGAGTATTTATTTACAGTAGAAAACCAGTAAAACATAGACAAAGTGAAAGCCAAAATGAGGAGTACCAACCTTATTCCGACTACTACTTTGAAGTCCTCTTCCAACGATCTGTTTATATACTTCTGAAAAACAAATTTGTTGTGACTTTGAGGTGCCAAGTGAGCCTGAGACGTTACACAAGATAAAAAAGTGAGTAGTATTAGAATTTAGTGTAAATACTTTTGTTGGACGCGAAATATAAAAGTAATTACCATGATAAATCCGTGTCGTAGGGTCAAATAATCAACTTTTTGTACAGACCTAAAAAATTGCCTGAAGAAGCAAACCTGCCGAAAAATAAATGGACGAATCGAGCGTCACAGCAGCATTAAAGTTACGAAATTTACATTCTACTGAACATTACAAGCAATAATCTAATAAATTTTGAGGACACAAGAAGGAGATTCTTGCTATTCCCTTCTTTTTCCTGAATTTTCTAGTTGAAAATTTATATAATCTAGTACACGTGAAATTTTTTGAAAATAGTTACTATTAATTAGAAAATGACTATATCTATAGAGTCGATAATTTTCAGTAAGATAATAATCAGGTTTCCTAAATAAAAATTGATAATATACATTCTCATTAATTCTCGACATTTTATTAATTGTCTCCAACGAAGGTATAAGGAAGGTGTAAAGGGATTTATTTCACCCCTACATTTTCAAGTAAGCAAAAAGTACTACAAAGTACAAATACAAAAATGCGACAAAATATTTGTTTCTTATTTCAAAGTACACTAACAAAAAATTTGGATAAACCATTACCAGATGTTCTAACTAATAGAAAATAGAAGACAAAAATGCAACAGAAAAAAAAAAAGGAAAAAGAAAAAAATTGAAGACACAAGTACAACAATAAACAAAATTAAGGACTTTAATGTAATTAAAAAGTTGTGTAAATATAACCCCATTATATATATATATATATATATATATATTTCTTTTACCAAAAACAGCAATTTTGTTATTGAGTCAGGATTTGGCATCAACCTCTATTACATAAAGTTATCAAGTTGAGTCTAGAGGTTTAGCCCCTGTTTAGTTTAGTTATAAACTAAATTTTTAGTAAATATTGATAAAAGTACATAAAATATATGATTGAAAAGTTAATAAAAGACGTAGATCTCATGAGCTGCATGGTAGAAAATGAGTTTGAGGGCTTAATTCACTGCATATACAGGAGGCTTGAAGGAGACAATCTCACTGTACGATAACTTTGTTAACCCCCTCCCCTCCCAAACACCAATTCTAGTTAGTTCAACGTTAAATTTGTAGCCAAGAAAGTACTCACAATCCAAAGTAGAACTGTGGTTTTGCTCCAGAAGCTCATATGCCTTCTTCCAAATGACGTTTCTCTAGCAAACCTGAATCTCTCGGGATCTGTCAAGTTTAGTCATGACATTTCAATTACCATGTCGATACATATATGTCATTCTCGAAATGGTATATCTTATCATATGTTCTTTTAGTCGAGTACTCGAGTTCTAGTTTGGTTACCGTGTGAATACTGGTAATCAATGGTTCTTGTTTCCTTTTCCCATGCTTTCCATTTTCTCATCTGAGATGAACAAGTTATCAGGTCGTCAAGAATTAATGTAAAATTAATTGTATACACAAATATCCAGAGAGAGAAGATTAAAATTTTGATACCTTGAGTCTTCCCAAAGCCAGGATGAGTATACAATAGAGGACATGAAAAACAGCCAAAACAAAGATGAAAATATGTAACTTATGTATGCCGTCCGTCGACATAAACGGGACTTTTCCCTGCAGAATTTTAGTCAATTTTCAAGTCAGTTTTTTAGCGAATTTCAAGTGTTTATTTTGGAATTATTCGAAGTGCGAAAATATTGACTCCTCAAACTAAACAAGTCGTGCCTTCTCTGCACATTTGTCTGTTCCTCCACCAGCCAGCACCCGTCTAATACTACCGCTGCCGCCGCCACCAATCATCAGAAGTTTCCGGCGAGATTCATCTTCAATATTATCAGTGTTTTTATATTTATCGGCCTCTCGTTTTTTGCTGCATGGGTGCCACGTGTCTCCAACTTTCTTCGATATACATGCATTAGAAATTGTACCTTGTCCTCCTGTTAGCAGCAAGGATATAAATCCCAGCAGCATCAACTCTTAATCCACCCAAAAAAAAAAAAGGAATTATCACCGAATTTTTCAATGATCAAATCAGAGATAAAGTAGTGGCCAAAAGTTTGTTCACGTACCAGATTTGATCTTTCGAATGATTCATATAGAGCCCTTTTATGTTTCTTCTTCAACCACTGCAAGAATTTAAAATTTTGATTATTTTAGCAAAAAACTATCTACGTAATGAAAATAAACAATGCGTGCTTACCTTATTGGATAATTTAATGCTCTAAATTATTGGATCTTTTATGTTAAATCATCAAGAAATACAAGAATTAAAGCGGAAGCGTACCTGAATCAGACGTGGTTAATGCAACCAAATCTACTCGCAGTCACCTTTTCCTCTCTGTGATAGCATGCAGTAGAGAATGAATAATACGTGCGTGTGATCTGGGGACCATAACCTATTTATATAAAGACGCCCTTTAACCTAATCCGGCCCATCATAAAATTAGGACTTGGGTCCGGTCTCTACACATATGTAAACTCATACTTTAATTGGATACATGAAAGCTCAAAATCGAAGCCTTATTAGATCACTTTAATTGGGTTCAATTGAATTCGATAGCCTATAATTTAACACACAATTATTCATATATAATAGCTCATCTATTGATTAAAAATCCTTACAATCTCCCACTTGGACTATATGTGTCACCTTATAATTGTGCATTAAACATAACCTTATGAGTACTCAGAATTTTGCTTTCATTACCGAATGTATCTCCAAACAATCCCGTTCATCAATCATGTCAACATAGGATCAAAGCGGTTTTCTCTACTTTCACGTAGCTAAACCCATCAATGGTCACGTATATCAATATAAACGAATGACATGGATCAAGCATGGATGTGAAGCATGAAAATTACATGTAATGTGATCTGTAACATGCCTATTTCTAACTGGTCCACCTTAATATCTTAGTGAGATCATTTTAAACAAGTTCAGAGATAATTAACCAAATAACTTTATAACTGAAAATAACTTTAACCTTAACTTTAAACCGTATTCAAAACAACAATGCATGTGTCCAATATGAAAAGCAAAAAATACGAACTCCCACTGAAACTAGATATCCTCAAGAGACATTACACCCATATGAGCAGCGTGCTCATGAAAGACCTTGGGTATCAATCCCTTAGTAAGCGGATCCGCAATCATGGAGTTTGTCCCAATATGCTCTATTGACACCTGTCCACTCTGAACTCTTTCTTTAACAACCAGGAACTTGATCTCTATATATTTTGACTTCGCAGAGCTCCTGTTGTTATTAGAATACAATACTGTTGATTTATTGTCACAAAATATCTTAAGTGGTCTTTCTATATTGTCCACAATGCGCAGCCTAGTGACAAAATTATGCGGCCATATTCCATGATTTAATGCCTCATAATACGCTATAAACTCCGCTGTCATGGTAGAAGTAGCTATGAGTGTCTGCTTGGCACTCTTCCATGAAATAGCACCTCCAGCAAGCAAGTAAATATAGCCTGAAGTGGATCTCCTACTATCTTGGCATCCTACAAAATCGGAATCAGAATAACCAATGATCTCCAACTGATCCGATCTCCTGTATGTAAGCATGTAGTCTTTTATTCTCTGTAATACCGCATGACCCGTTTAGCTGTTTTCCAATGATCCATTCCCGGGTTACTTAAATATCTCCCTAGCATCCCAACAATGTACGCTATATCCGGAAGCGTACAAACCTGAGCACACATCAGACTCCCTATAGCTGAGGAATAAGGAATCTTCTGCATTTCTTTAATTTTCAAATCATTTTTAGGGCACTGACTTAAGCTGAACTTGTCTCCTTTAGCCACAGGGGTGTCACATGGTTTACAATCTTGCATGTCATATTTTTTAAGTACCTTTTCGATATTTCTCTTTTGTGATAATCCAAGAATACCCCGAGAACAGTCTCGGTGTATCTAAATTCCTAATACAAAAGAGGCATCACCAAGATCTTTCATCTCAAAATTCTTTGCTAGAAATCTCTTGGTTTCGTGCAATAAGCATATATCGTTGCTGACAAGCAATATGTCATCGAGATATAAAATCAAAAAAATATAATTGCTCCCACTGAACTTGTGGTATATACAATCATCGACTGAATTCATCTCAAAACCAAATGAGATGATCACCTGATGAAACTTGTAATACCATTGACGAGATGCCTGTTTGAGTCCATAGATGGATTTCTTTAATTTACAAACCATTTACTTTGCATCGTCCGATACAAAGTTTTCTGGTTGTACCATATAAATTATTTCATCAATGTCACCATTGAGAAACACTGTCTTAACATCCATCTGATGTAGCTCAAGATCGAAATGCGCTACCAATACCATTATAGTCCTGAAAGAGTCTTTCGAAGAAACCGAAGAGAAAGTCTCTTTATAATCGATGCCTTTTTTCTGTATAAACCCCTTTGCGACAAGACGAGCCTTGTACCTCTCTACATCACCTTTTGAATCCCTCTTGGTCTTAAATATTCATTTGCAACCAATGGATTTCGCACCTTCAGGCAATGGAACGAGGTCCCATACGTCATTGTACTTCATGGACTTTATCTCTTCATTCATAGCATCGAGCCACTTTTGAGAGTTAGAACTTTCCATGGCTTGACAGAAGTTGATCGGATCATCTTCCACCATTCCAATGTCAACTTCATGTTCTTGAAGAAATACGATGTAATCATTCGAAACTGCACTTATCCTCTCTCTAGTGGATCTTCTTAATGGCATTGGTTCTTGAGGCTGTAGAGTTTGTTCTTCTGGAACAATTTGTTGATCTTGAGAGGGAGGTATAACATTAACTTGATCCAGAGTTGCTTCTTGAACAATATCAGGGATAGAAACATGATCATTATCAATGGCAATTGGAGGAATTTCAACATATTCCTCCTCAAAGACAAAGCCTGTAACCCTTTCTCCCCCTGCAAACTCAACATCCTCAAAGAACCTAGCATTTCCTGTCTCGAGAATTGCCTTAGTTGTGGGATCATAAAACTTGTAACCCCTGGACCTTTCAGAATATCCAATGAAATAGCAACTGATGGTCCTTGCGTCCAATTTTTTTTCATTTGGCTTATAGGGCCTTGCCTCAGCTGGACATCCCCAAATATGTATATGCTTCAAACTAGGCTTCTTGCCCGTCCAAAGCTCATATGGGGTTTTATCAGTGGCCTTAGTTGGAACTCTGTTGAGTATATAAGCTGTAGTCTTTAATGCTTCACCCCAGAGAGATTCTGGTAAGGTAGAATGACTAATCATACTTCTCACCATGTCCTTAAACGTTCTGTTTCGTCTCTCAGCAACACCATTCATAGTGGGCTAACCCGGCATAGTGTACTGTGGGACGATACCGCATTCCTCTAGGAATTTAGTAAACGGTCCTAGACGATGTTCACCTGAACCGTCATATCTGCCATAGTATTCACCCCCACGGTCAGATCTGACGCTTTTAATCCTTTTACCGAGTTGGTTCTCAACTTCAGCTTTATAGTTTTTGAACACATCTAGTGACTGTGATTTTTCATGAATGAGATATACGTAGCCATATCTTGAAAAATTGTCTATGAACGTTATAAAATATTGTTGACCATTTTAAGAACCCGTAGGGAATGGTCCACAAATATCCGTATGTATAAGTTCTAAGACGTCCGAAGTCCTATTGGCTTGAAATCTCCTTTAATTGGCTTGTTTTCCATTTATACAGTTGACACACAAATCATAATCTGTGAAGTCAAGAGGGTCGAGAATCCCGTCAGACACAAGTCTCTCAATTCTCCTTTTGGAGATGTGACCTAATCTCTTATGCCACAACGAGGCACAATTCTCGTCGTTTAATTTTCACTTTACACTTCGAGTACTTACATGCAAGGTTTCATTATAAGAAGCAGTTGTATCAATTGAATAAAGATTATCATAACCTGATAAAGAACCGGAACCAACCAATTTTGAATCATGAAACAAACTAAATTTTCAATTTCCAAATGAACAAGTATAACCAAATTTGTCCAAAACAGAAATAGAAATCAAATTTCGTCTAAAAGACGGTACAATAAATGTCTCAACAAGATCCAAATAAAATCAAGTCTTTAACAATAATCTAAATTTTCCTATTGCCTCTACTTCCATTCTTTTGCCATCGCCAGCATAGATGTATCTTTCATCATCACTTGGTTTTCGGCAACTCAGGCAACCCTGCATAGATATACTGATGTGAGTTGTTGCACTAGAATCTATCCACCATGTATGTCTAGGTACCAAAATTAAATTAACCTTAGAACAAATCAAATGAAGAAGAGTACCTTTCTTTACATGTCATGCGTGGTAATTGGTGCAATTCTTCTTCTTATGACTTGCAGCTCCACAGAAGAAACAACTACCTTCAGTTGGTTCCTTGTGCTGTTTCTTTTGCGGTGCCGTACCGTAGCTTCCTTATTAATCTTTCTTTTTTTTTTGCTTTTGTCCTTAGAGGTGGTGGCCAAATGAGAACTTTCTGTCTTCTCATGCTTCAGTCTTTCCTCTTCCTAGACACAGTGTGAGATGAGCTCATTAATGGACCATGAATCATTTTGACAGTTGTAGCTCACCTTGAATTGACTGAAATGTGCCGGAAGGGATATCAGAACCAAGTGCACCAACAAGTCTTCAAATAAATCCAACTTGAGTGCCTTTAGTTTTGAAGCAATGTGAGACATTTCCATAATGTACTCCCAAATGTTTTCTTTCCCTTTATACCTCATTGAGACAAGATTTGCGAAAAGTGTACTTGTTTCAGCCTTTTCATTCTTGGCAAACCTCTTCTTAAGGTCCTCAAGGAAACCCTTAGTCGTAGTCACCTTATCGGACATAGCGCCCCGGAATGCTTCTGGAATAGCACGCTTCATGACCATTAAGCTTATGCGGTTCGATCGTTCCTACTTTTCCATCTCCCTCGTGTCATCAGAGGTACTCTTATCAGCAAGTGCAGCAGGTTGATCGACCCATAAAGCAAGGTCTAGGTTCATGACTCCGAGAACAATCATAACGTTCTCTTGCCATGCCCTGAAGTTTGTGCCATTTAACATTGAAATTGAATTGATGCTAGCAGAGATATTAGCAGCAAAACCTGAAACTGAATCAGAGAACGTTTATTATGAATAGCTCACATGAATATCTTTAATATGCAAATAATAATATTCTCAAATACTGGTAGGGCCCGTCACAAGATACCAAGCACAACATCAATATCTAGTCTTTGGATAGAGATATTGACTTATAAGCGGTACTCTTGGCGTAGTGATTAAACATTGACGATAAAACAACTTGTCAATCAACAAACCTTTCTTTGGACCGATTTATTGATCACACTTAAACCAAATAATCGTCACACGTTTATCACCACAGGTGCACGTGTATTCAGCTAAATATTAACCTTCCTTTGGGCCGACCAATATTCCCATGAATAACACATGCACAAACACTTTTTAAAATTCTAAGTTAGTCAATTTTCACAAGAGAGGTTGCTTTGACAACATGTTGCTTCAATTAACCAACTTTCGAATATTATATCTCTTAAAAGAGTCCTTAGTACCAAAATTCGAGAAAGAGAATCATCAGTTTTGCATATTTTGATTAGTTTTAAACTTTAGGGGCCTTAGGATTAATAATTCAAAACTTTAAGGGGACAAAATTAATTAATTTCAAACTTTAGGGGTTGAAATTAGAACAAATTTTAAAACTTTAGGGGCCAAAATTGACCAATTCAAAACTTTAGGGATCAAATTTTGAAAATTTGAAACTTTAGGGGTCAATTTGAATTAATTATGAACTTATGGGGCCAATTTGAACTAGTAATTAAAGTTTGAGGGCTTTAAATATAAATTCAGAACTTTAATGGCCCGAATTAATTAATTTTAAAACCTTAGGGACTGAATTATTAAATCCGAAACTTAAAGGCCCAAAACTTAATATAACTTAAAGGTTAGGGACTCAAACCTTAATTTTATAACCCTAACCCTAATTGCAACTAAGGACCTCAAATCATCTAATTTACAGAGGAAGCCCCCGTCCCCAAAACAACCGAAAACTGAAAAAAAAAACCCTAGGAAAAATTTCTTCTTCTCTTCTTCTTGGCGGCGCCGGCGGAACCAATGGCGCCGGGCTGCTGGCCGGCAACAGCCCCAAAAAGTTTTTTTTTTTTGAAAACTGAATCTGAATCTGATTTCAAAATCCATAAAATTCCAAATCTGAATTTTCTCAACCATTAATTTGAATTACGAAAATAACAATTATACCGCAAAAGTTTTCAAATTCAACAAAATATAAATCCTAAACTATCAAATCTGAAAACTTTACAAAATATTGCAAGAACCAAATTAAATTATTCGATTCTTAATGATTCAACATGAAGAGGCTCTGATACCACTTGTTGGATAATTTAATGCTTTAAATTACCGGATCTTTCATGTTAAATCATCAAGAAATACAAGAATTAAAGCGGAAGCATACCTGAATCAGACATGGTTAATGCAATATGAATTTCGCGGTATAGTTTTCCAAATCTACACGTAGTCGCCTTTTCCTCTCTGTGATGGGATGCAGTAGAGAATGAATAATACGTGTGTGTGATCTGGGGACCATAACCTATTTATATAGGGACGCCCTTTGACATAATTCGACCCATTATAGAATTAGGATTTGAGCCCGATCTCTACACATATGTAAACCCATACTTTAATTGGATACATTAAAACCTAAAACCGAAACCTTATTAGATCACTTTAATTGGGCTCAACCGAATTCGATGGCCTATAATTTAACACACAATTATTCACACATACAAACTCATCTATTGATTAAAAATCCTTACATGCCTTTCCAGTAAGATGGATAATATGCTCAATGACTATTGAAACTGAAACCAGAACAAAATAGACTACGGCGACAGCCCAAGTCGGTGTTTCCTTCAACGATCTTCCTCCGCTTGCTCCGGCCATTTTCGAAGTTTCTCAAACTCTAAAACACTCGGAAATTCAATCTCCAATCTTGCAGAAAGAACAGATTATTTGGAAGGTATAAAATCTTGGAAACTTTCTTTCAAATTTATCGAGTGATATATTGTTACAGATTAGACCTAATAGACGTAAACTATATACATAAATTGGCAAGGGTGTATCGAGGAAAGAAGGTTATGAGGGGAAAGTGTATTCATGATTTTGACTGTATAAACGCGTAAAAGGTATTGGAATCTGTTGACTTTCTCAAATTATTTTTAAAATAATATCATGATAAGTTCAATTAAATGCGAAATTATGTGATTCATTTAATTGTTTTATTTAATGATACTTAATGTTATCTAAATTGATGTTGTAAAATTAATGGTCTTAAATAGTATTGCTTTTATTTTTAAGGTTTGGAGTTCCTTAAATTGGTGACAAATTAATATGTTATAATAAACCGTTAATCACTTCCCTAGTTGAATCCATAATTGTTGTACATTAGTTAACGCATTCATAATATCACATTCGCAAAAGCAAATGATTCGAGGCTTTCTTTCTTTTTCTTTTTGGGATAATTGCATCTGAGGCTCCAAACCTTTCAAACAGTGGCAAACTTTTCCCTAACTTTTCAATTGTTGCAATCGTCACCCCAAACCTTTCAAATCGTAACAGCCGAGGCCCCAATAAACGGTTTTCATCCAATTTGGCGTTAGTTGACCAAAAAAACTAATTTTTGACCACCTTCTAATCAATTTTAAAAAGGCAAAATAGTGCTTTAATATTTTTTCCATAAAATAATTAAAAACATAAATCAATAATAATAATAATAATAATAATAATAATAATAATAATAATAATAATAATAATAATAATAATAATAAAAAACAAATAAAATTTAAAAAATAAAAGAAAAACTATCTTCTTCATCAACTCCTTACCCCACCCCGATAAAGGAAGAACCCACAAATCAACCAAAGACTCTAGTTTCCTTTCTGAAAATGAAAATGAAAATGAAAATGTTTATGGCCTTTATGGTTGTTGACATCCGAACTCCGATCTAATAAAAACAGTTCGCTAACCCCACCTCAGTTAAATGTGAGTTCGGTCCTTACTCCCAGGTCAGACAATCCCGCTGTTATCTCAAAAAAAAATATGATTACCCCCTGTCACATCACCCTATCAATCAAATACACTTGGCACAGGTGACATCATCACCGCCCGGAACAACCAATCCTAAATCCTTAACCTCCAGCCCCTTGCAGGTCATTATTACCTGGGGAAAATATTGACACATGGCCACCGGCCTCATCGACCAATCACAAGAAAATTCGGCGACCCGAGTTCCGAGCTCGATACTGTTGCTGATTTGACTGATTTGATGTAATGTCGGCTGAAACTATGTATAAATAGTTGAATATGACTCTTGTAAAGGGCAAGTGATTTCATACAACAACTCAATGCATAATTACACTCTTTAAACATATTTTATGGTCTTTTTTCAATAATAAATAGCCATTTTTTTCTTAATGTTGGCTTAAGATTAGTCTTGCTAATTTTGACGTCAAGAGTTTGGCGCTAGAAGGATGACCCTAATTGTGAAAAATAGTCTCATTTTCTCCACAAAATTCGAGAGCCATGAGTCATAGGTCAAGTTCCAGAAATCCATTTCACACCCACCCTCATGAAACGAATACACCACCAAGTTCTCCACGACGGTAGGACCCTCAAACGACCGCCATGAGGGAAACTTGTACCAACCATCAACGCAATTCCCGGGGAGTGCGTAAGGCAAACGTATGGGAATCCGAGCTCATTCTACTAGACCCGCGGACCAGGATCGAAGGAGGAGAACCCCTCGAAGAACTAAAAGGAGTTCAAGTCTGTGCCAAGGACCTAACAAAGGAGCTCAAAGTCAAGCGCGAGCTGCAGCCATCTACCCGAAACGAAATTGTGGCCTTCCTTAGACAAAACCTTGATATCTTCGCCTGGAATCACGGGGACATGAGAGGAATAGACCCCAACATCGCATACCACAAATTACAGGTGGATCCTTCAGTTCAGCCAAAGCAGCAAAAATGACGATCTCTGAACCCTGAAAGATATGAAGCACTCAACAAGGAGGTGCAAAAACTGTTGCATAACGGTTTCCTCCGTGAGGCCAAATACCCGAAATGGGTCGCAAATCCGGTCCTTGTGAAAAAACACAACGGAGATTAGAGGGTATGCATAGTCTTCACCGACCTCAACAAAGCATGCCCAAAAGATAATTTTCCTCTGCCAAGAATAGATCAAATGGTGGACACCAATACCGGACACAAACTACTCAGCTTCATGGATGCGTATTTCGGATATAACCAGATACCGATGTATGGCCCAGATCAAGAATATACCTCGTTTGTATCTGACCGAGGTCTTTACTGCTACAAAGTAATGCCATTTGGTCCCAAAAACGCTGGTGCGACCTACCAACGACTAGTGAATTCCATGTTTTCCCAACAGATCGAAAAAATAATAGAAGTGTATGTGGACGATATGTTGGTCAAAAGCATCAAGGCCAAGGATCACTGTCAGCACTTGACCGAGATGTTTGATATGCTGATGAAGTATGGAATGAAGTTGAACTCAAGGAAATATGCTTTCGGGGTCAGCTCTGGAAGATTCCTAGGTTACATTGTGAACAACCGAGGAATCGAGGCAAATCCTGAAAAAATACAAGCTGTCATCCAAATGAGGCCTCCAACTAAACCTAGAGAGGTACAAAGTTTAACCGGAAGAATTGTCGCCCTCAGCCAGTTTGTCTCCAAGTCTACGAACCGTTTGCAAACCCTTCTTTGACACGTTACGAGGAGGAAAGAAGTTCGAATGGACCAAAGAATGCTAAGATGCCTTTAACGAGCTAAAGAGACAACTAGCTCAGCCTCCGTTGCTTTCAAAACCTAAGGCCGGTGAGGTCCTAAAGCTTTATTTATCCGTTTCAGAACATGCCATTAGTGTGATTCTAACCCGAGAAGAGACCGGTGTTCAACACCCAGTCTATTACGTAAGCAAGGCGCTTCACAAAATCGAGCTCAGATATTCACCAAAAGAAACTGGCATTTACCCTGCTGATGGCCGAGCGAAAACTAAGGCCATATTTCTTGGAACACCCCATTGAGGTCCTCACCAACTCTCCAATAAGGCAAACACTTCAAAGACCCGACACTTCAGGTCGGATGGTAAAATGGGCAGTCGAGCTCGGACAATTTGACATAAAATACACGCCACGTTCCTCCATTAAGGACCAAGCACTCACCGACTTTGTCTCTGAGTTCTGCAACGTCCCAATTAAGGAACTACAAGAAGAAACCCCATGGAAACTTTATGTCGACGGTTCATCCACCGGAGAACAATCTGGGACAGGCGTCGTATTAATCAGCCCTGAACATCGCATATTCTGTGAAGCCTTACCATTTAACTTTAAAGCCTCAAACAATGAGGCATAGTACAAAGCTCTCATTGCCGGCACAAGGATGGCCTCAGGGTTGGGGATCTCTGACCTGATCATACATAGCGACTCTCAACTAGTCGTAAATTAGGTCAACGGTGTATATATAGTGAAAGAAGAAAGAGTTGACAACTATCTACAAGTTGTAAGAAAAGAACTTGAAAGGTTCAACACCACCGAAGTCAAGCGAATTTCTCGATTTCAAAACGGTCATGTCGAAGCACTGGCCCGGCTAGCCACCAGTGAGGAAATTGAAGAATTTGATAGCATCCCGTGGGAAGAATATCCCTACCGTCTACCGAACTGGACGAAGTGGTCCAAATGATGATAGACCCTAAACCAACCTGGCAGGATGAGATCGTCACCTACTTATAAATCGGGAAATGTCCCGAAAATTTTGCAGAGGCTAGAAAGCTTCGAATCAGGTCGGCCAGGTATACATTCATTGACGATGTACTATACAGACGGGGAAATTCTACACCTTTGTTAAGGTGTTTAAACGAAGAAGAAGCTCAGCATACCCTGCAAGACGTTCACGAAGGAATATGTGAGAACCATTCAGGAGGGCTCTCACTAGCCCACAAGATCATACGACAAGGATACTTCTAGCCTGCCATAAGATGCAATTCCCTTGAATTTGTCAAAAGATGCGACAAATGCCAGTGTCTCGCCACCATCATAAACGCTCCACCGCACGAGTTGAACCCAGTAACAGCACATTGGCCCTTTGCAAAATGGGGGGTCGACCTAATTGGACCTATGCCCGTTGGAAAAGGAGGTGTAAAATTCACCATCATCGCAGTTGATTACTTCACCAAATGGGCCAAGGCAAAGCCACTTGCCAAGATCACCGAACAGAAAACAACCGACTTTTTGTGGAAATCAATCATTTGTAGGTTCGGCATACCTCACTCCCTTGTTACGGACAATGAAAAACAGTTCGACAATACACGACTTTCAGATTTCTGTGAAGAGTTCGGCATCAAGAAATATTTCTCAATGTCGAACCATCCATAGGCAAACGGCCAAATCGAAGCCATTAACAAATTTATTAAGCATACATTGAAAGCAAAACTCGACTTGTTTAAAAGAGGATGGGCCGACGAACCCCCCAGTGTGCTATGGTCTTATCGCACCACTTCAAGGACTAGCACGGGAGAAACACTGTTCTCACTGGCTTTCGGTGTAGAGGTTGTGATCCCACTAGAAGTCAGCATTCCTTCACTCCGCATAACTGATTACGACGAAGAAAGGAACCGCATGGCTCTTCGTACGGAACTCGACCTAACTGAGGAGAAAATGAACAATGCCGAACTTAAAAATGTCGTTTACAAGCAGCGGAACGCCAAGTACTACAATCAAAAAGTTCGAAAAAGAGAATTTGAAATAGAATCCCTCGTATTACGAAAAGTATTCCTCCCCACAAGAGAGGTAGGTAGTGGATGCCTGGGCCCGAATTGGGAGGGCCCCTATCTGATAACGAAGGTCTTGCAAAAATGGGGATATGAGCTGGAAGACTTG